AGGTAAACACTTCCTCTCTAGAAGTCATCTGAAGGATAGCCAAAGCCACCTGACAGTACCATCCTACTTGACAGTACCATCTCCATTCCCTTCACTCTGCAGATCTATGGTCTCCACGGTCTCTATGGACTTCATTCCACATGACACCTCACTGCATGGAAACATTTGGGTCCCTCCATATTTTTGAAGAAAATTACAACACAGTGGAGCCACTTCACAGCCCCACTGACTGAAATATATCCCAAGATTTTAGCAGCTCACATGGATTTGGCAGTAAAATAACACAAATTATCAGACTTCAGGAAAACACAGGAAAAAAAACCTGAAAATATACAGGGCAGTAAAGGGAAAAGAAGCTGTCCAACACCAGCACATTAGCAATTATTCAACCTCTTCACAGAGAGTCTAAAACCATTAGCATCATGTGAGAAACAGCAACATGCCACCCACAGCAAACTCGAGATTTTTCTATTTACCAGTAAAGTCAAGCCCTGGCTTCCAATTCTGCAAAATAATCAGTAACTCAGTCACCTGTGAAATTTCAAGTCACTTCTTGATTATGTGTAAAATTCTTCCAATTATTTAGGCTCTCTGGGTTTAAGGAAAGTCATTAAAATGAGAACATCTTTGAGAGAATTTTTCAAAAGGAGTTATTCATTGTTAAGCAAAAAAAAAAAGAAGAAAAGAAAATTCTGTCCATTTGACTACATTAACTAAAGTAAGGTCTCTCTGCCAGCAGAAGGTATTGTTCATTGCTTCAACTTGGGAAAGTGTGAACCACTAGGACCGGAGGCTTCTTGGGAGAAAGACACATCTTACACAGTGCCGCACACCTTTGCCTGGGATGTTATAAATCCTGATCAACCATGTTTGTGGATGCTGAGAAGTGACAATTTCTTCAGTGCTTGATGCGACTTTGTTTTCATAAGCAAACAGCAAAGTGCGACCTACTGTTTCTCTTTCTTGGTCTCTGCCCCCTTGCTGGTTAAATCAAGTGTTCTATTATAAGTGTGTGTGAGTGTGTGAGTGTGTGTGTGTGTGTGTCCACCAGCAAAGGTAAAATGAAGCCACTTGTGAAATCCAAGTGTACCGAACAATCTCAGCGGCTCGCAAAGGTCTCAGAGGCAGGCAGTGGGACCAGCGCTGCGGCCCAACATAAACTCACTCGGCTCAGCCTATTCTCTCCTGCTCTTGCCAACGTACACTTGGCTTCTGTGTAAAGACTGCTTGGAAGATGTCAATAATCTCTAATTTATGCTCTAATTACACAACCACTTCGCTCTTTGGCAACCTGAACAAAACAAAAGTTTAAAGGGTAGAATATTTAACCACAATGTACCTAAGAAAAAGATCCAAAGCAGAAAAACAAAAACCTTAGTCAGACTTGCAAATATAGCAGAAAACTTTTCACAAGTCAGCAGCATTTCTCAGAATGAAGAGTCCACTCTCCTAAGCGACACAAGAAATCAAAACAGCAAAAATTATACTGCTTATACTGCCAAGCACTCCAGGATTCAAACAACAGTGATGTCCAGCTCTGTTCAGAGAAAGGCCAGGCCCCTCCAGAAAAGGGATTAAGCGAGATTAAAAAAACTTTCTGGTCAAAGGACAAGAAACACTGGGGACTGATACAAATATAACTTCCAAAGAATCAAAGTCCAGAGTTTTAAAGTTTTCTTTAGACTTGAAAACTACTTCACCCCTGTGACCCAGCTTATCAGTAATTTCCTTTAAGCAAAAGAAATTCCCAAGTTTTTCCTAAATATATATACCACTGGTATATAAAATGATAGCAAGCACACCGACTGGAAATTCAGTTACCTGCCCCGTTGCCTGGGAATATCTCTTTTGTCATCAGCCTCTGCCCTCTTCCGAGACTATCACAGCCACTCCAACCCAGCTGGCCCATATTGTCCCCCAATCTTACCTTTTCACTGTGACTCTCACTCTTCTTTTTGATTCTCACTTGCCAAACATGGCTCTTCAGCCATCTTTCAATCAACTCAGCCTAAGTTTTATTGTTTAAATACTATCTCGATGTCACCTTCCATATATCCTTTTGCTTTATTTTAATGATACTATCTCAGATACTTTGCTAGCTCAGACAGCGAGGTACTGATTGATTCTTGGACACTTTCATTGCAGTGGCATTTGACACAACATTTAAAGCTAATTTAAACAGCTTAGTTACTTTTCTCATTGCTGAGACAAAATACCTGACAACTATAAGTTAAGGGAAGAAAGTTAATCTAGTTCACAGTTTGTAGTGGTTTCAGTTCATAATTGGCTGGCTCCGAGGCAGGGTGGATGACAGACAGGCATTACAGAGGAGAAACAGTTCATGGTGGGCAGAAGGCAACAAAGTAAGCGTGGGACTACTGCAGCTCTTTTTAGCCCATATAGTTTATCCAGGCTACTTAGGGTGGGTAACACTCACACCCTTAATCCTAGTGCCCTTGATTTTAGTATTGTACCATGAATCAATCACATACTCTAGATCTGGCCACCTCTAAAAAAACCCCACTGATGACTCCATGAGGCTTTGGAGGGACATCTAGACACAAGTCATAACACCAAATTTAAGAAAATATGACTTTTCTAATACTTCATTTTACTGCATAAAAAATTAATGCTTCTTATACAAATACATACAATAAAATAACACATATGATGGAGATAGAAGAGTAGGATGAAGAATAAATTAAAGTAAGGAAGTTAAGATGGAATCAGGAAGGGTGTTCAGAGCTTAAAGCTTGTGTTATCAGGCTCACACATGAGCCCCTTACCTCTGCAAATAAAAGTTCTAGCCCCCAGAACAATCTTGCCCACTGTCTGTTTTTGTAAACAAAATTTTATTGAAACACAGCCACACCCATTCATTCCCATATTATTTATGGTGCTTTCATGCTACAATGGCAGTTGAATAGCTGCAACAGAGATCACAGGGTCCACAAAACCTAAAATATTTACTACCTGGGCCTTCACAGGAAAAAATGTGTAAATGCCTGGGCTGTACAGTTCTCTGCCTAGATAGGCATACTCTTTATAAAGCTCTGAAGTAGAACTTTCTGCTATGAAGAGCATGCCATGTCATCTAATGAAAAAACATCTTTGGCATCATTTTTTAATAGCAATATGTTTCATATGGCCCCTGGCATGACAATATCATAACACAGGTGAGTACAACAACTCAATGTAAGCTGAAACAGGGCCAATTCACACCTGGCCTGGCTTAATTCAGCAACAGTGTCTGCAGGTGGCAAATGCCAACCAGTATAGGCAGCTCCTCCTTATCCTACCCTCTCTCCTCAGCCCTGGCGGACATGGTGACAGATTCAGGTATTCTCTTTTGCTGAGTCCTCAAGTGTCGTCAAAGTCTCCCAGTCCTCTGGCAGTCTCACCCAAACATTAGCATTTGGCATGCAAGATAAAACCAATATGGATCTTCGCTCTTGGGCAATTTTCCCCGAGCGCTCTGTTTACGGGGAGGAGCGGGGATGGACACTGAAGTTGTCCTGTCACTGTGAGCCTGAAGCCCCGCTTCTCTATTTCAGCGATGTGCACAGCTGTCCCCTCCAGTGGCAGATCCTATGGAAGGACCAGACTGCCATCTTTTTGAGACAACCAGAACCTGCCAACCTGGCAGGGTGGCAACCTGGCAGGGTGGCAACCTGGAGAGAAAACCCCACAGGGAACTCTTGTCTCCTTAGAGCTGAGAGCCTGCTCCACTGCACAGACAGCAGGGGTCAGGGCCACAGAAAACAACAGCATTCAAGCCCAATACCTGTGCTACTTCTCCAAAGAAACAAAGTCCCAAACACCATCATTTCAACCAAGCAATCTCGTCACACATACGTCTTGAAAGAACTCTCCAAGGCACAAGGACTCCAAAATAAACAGAAGAAAACTGGAAAGGAAACTGCAATTCAGTTAAATGTTGGAATAAGAGATAAAGTTAAAAACTATGGATTTAGAAGCATATAGTTCTTCTCATGCCTGTTCTTTCCTTGTGGCTAAGAATCCATGCCATGCGTTATTATACTTCCAGTGGAACAAAAATTTAGGTTACCTAAAGAAGTCTTTAATACACAAATTTAAGAGAATTAGAACTATTCTTATTTTATCATGCTGGAAATTACTACCTGGTCTATACTCAATTATTACTCACGTTGTCAAAGGGAGAAAAACCAAACATATCAGAAGCTACCATACAGTGTACGCAAAGATCTTTCCATGTGGTGACCGAAAAGTAAAAAAGTAGTAATTAAACACCCATGCCCAAACCTCTCCTCTTTATGGAATGTAGCTATCTTCTAGAAAATCAACGACAAATAAATGAAACAAAACATATTTGACAGCAGAGCTAGAATGGCCAACAGCATGATATATCAATGGCAGAAAATGTACTTCATCTGTTTCTTCTTGTTTTTTTTAAAGAGCAAACACTACCAGATCATGTCATTCGTTCATCTAGAATTCAAGTTTAGAGTTCAATTCCAGACTACCCAAGAATATATGGAAATGTAGAAAATTTGGACTCTGTGTGGTTGTGAGAAAAAGAAGAAGAAAGAATTGTAAAGTGCCAGTAGTGCTCAACCCGATCACATAGGAACAGGAATTCGGTATACTTGTCCAGAACTGAGTACAGGGATGACCCACGATACACTGGATTTGGAAGTACACAGACTATCAAGGTGCAAAATCCACAGGAAAGCAAAAGCCACTCCGTATCTGCTCTGGGCCGATCCCCACAACTCCAAGCCATTATGCAACCTAACTTGTCCCTGTCGCACACTGAGTCCAAGCTGGAGGTAAAAACTAAATAAACGTTCTATGGTGTTGCCTAAAAATCTTCTTGCACAACCATCCAGACCTCTAGAGTTTGTGTTTCCAAAACTGCTGTCCCAAACAACCAGCGCACACACTGTCTTTTCCAGAACCCCCTAGGCAAGTGCAATTTGGCTGACGTTTATAAGACAGCTATGAAGATTCTTACTTACGTATCGCATACAAGGTGAGAATTATTCCAGCCAGGCAAAATCCTTCAAAGAACCTGAGTGTGCTGAACATTGTCACATTCACCGAGAGCGCCACGGTCAGTCCAAAGATCAGAATGAAGATGACAGAAAACAGCAGCACAGGCCGACGGCCAACCCTGCGGATGGAGAAGGACAGAGTCGGGATCATCGTTAAGCAGGATGGCAATGGCAGACATCCCAGTATCCCTAGTATCCAGCAGGGGTCCCACATGTGTTGACTGTGTACAGGCAGCAAGTCTTCATACTGTCTAGACCCACTTCACTAGATCATGGACTACTTACTGGGGCAGCAAGAGGAACACTTAGCCCAAGCCCTGGAGCTAAGGGAGCAGAGATCAAATAGGAGTGGGTAAGAGAATTGAGACATGAACCCAATTCCTGTTGCTTAGTCTATTTCTGAGTATAAATGGGGGTGGCCAAAGCAAGGAGGACAGAATCAGTAATGACTCTCCAAGCACAAAACTAGACACACCCAGCATAAAACATCTTGAGAAACTGCTGACCTTTGGAGCTGGATGGGAAGCCAGAAAGGGCATGGAATGAAGCAGCTTTACTTCCCCTCTCCAGGTTGTTCGCTAAGACAGGTACCTGCTCTCACAGGCAGCCTCCAGAGCCCAAGCCAAGCTGGCTGCCAGTGTTTCAGCTACATGACAAGCAGTGATTTGTAAGGATCACATGTTAGGCCAAGACACCTAATCTGACCTTTAAATAACTGGTGTCGTGCTGCCAGCATGCTCAGGGCGAAGCCCCCTGGGAAGGACAGCAGCGGCACTGAATTCACGGATTACCATTTGGGCCAGAAAAGGACGGGACCAGGAGTGGGCAATGTGCTTCTGGGGGGCTGGCAGGGCAATGGGACCCAAAGGATGGGGAAACCACTTGCTTCCCATCCCCCCCACACTGACTTTCTACCTTTTTCTTCATTACCTCATTCAAGATAAAAGTGCAGCAATAACTCATAAAACTAATGTACATCAATTGGCTGGGACTGCAGGGGTAGCCTCAGAAAAATGGGGGCAGAGTGGACGATATTTGCCAGGACAGAAAGAAGAGAGAGGGGTGCAGAAACACAAGCTCGGTACCCTAAACATCACAGAGGGTAGCTGGATGGTGTAATGAGAAGGCGTCTACACACACGGCAGATGCCCAGCAAAGGCAACTCTACTGACATGGAAGGTTGACCTGCACTTGCCCAAGGCTGGTAGTGAGGATGGAGAGGGTGTTTCTGAGCACATTTCCAGCACCATTTTAAAGGGATGGAAACACTTCAAGCTTAGAGTGGGAGATGATTGTATAATCCCTTAAATATGCTCAAACTCACTGAGTTGTGTGCTTTAAATGAGTTTTATGGTACATGAACTATCTCTCAATAAATCTTTTTTTTTTTTTAAAGAGTAATAATCAGTAAGGCATGGCCTTACTCTATGAAGGAGATGGATGCCATTTTTTTAAAATGTGGGAGCAGAAATAACTGGGCAGCATTTCCTTCAGGACATTCTGAGCTTTTAACCATCTCCATTAGTCACACTGGTTTTGGGAAATGAGGCCAAGGCTATGAGCCCCATAGCTACGTAAATCAATGAACTGGTGTGGAGATCTCACCCTTTACTTCCCTCACCCTCACTGCGGTCATGAAATCCCTACCAGGAGAGACCTTACCGGATGATTTTACCCATATCCAACTCTTATAGATATAAATTCATGAGACTTAGTTTTTTCCTAAAATGAAGGAAAACAAAACATCTGACACCTATTTTTATTGACCTTCATCTTCTTCCTCTGTAAAATGGGGGTAACTATCCTATTTTATAGGTTTATTGAGGCCATTCATGAAAGGAAATGACAGATAGTAGCACTACACCCAGCCTAAGGTACCTAAATGTTTGAGTTCTCTTCCGTCCTGCATTTCTATGTCCCTGACGTTGATCACAGGTGGTTTGCAATGTTCTGACACTTTTTTAGAAAAGATGCTTGGTGTTTTTAAATCTTATACGAGCCATTCTAAGTTCCTCCTCCCCAGTGATTGCTGAAATCAGTAAGCAAACATTATTATCAGGGACTGTAGGGCGTGTGTGGTCTTTGAAGTTGGAGTGCCTGGTTTTAAAACCAGGCTCAAACCACTTCTGAAAGATATGGTCTTGGGAAAGATCAAGCTTGTTCTAAGGAGCCCTGTGTTCCTTTTCCTAAGAACCAGCTAATGTCTCCCTAGCAGGGCTATTGTAGAGCTCAGGCATGTGTGGGTGACTTAGCAAGCACTCACTACGAATACAGCTTGGAAGTTTTGTATGTGATGGCTCCCCAGAGTGATATCACCTCAGAAATGAAAAAAAATCTTACTCCTCAGTCTGCAAAGTGAGGCTGATTACTTAGGACCTGTGGTAGGCAGAGTAACAGACCCCAACAATATCCATGTCCTAATCTGCAGGTGGGATTAAGGTTAAGGACCTGGAGATCAAATGTTCTGCAGGTGAGTCTCACCCCCTTGGCTGAGGGAACCAGAGAGGGTACGGTGTGGAGGGAGGGGTGGAGGGAGGGGCTGGCCCAAGAGCTGGGAAAGGCAAGGAAAGACTGTCTCAGAGCTCACAAAAAAGAGTGCTGCCTGCTGAGACCCTGGCTTCAGTCCAGGGAGACCCCTGCTGGGCTTGAGACCCACAGGACTGTCAGTGGTTAATGTGTGATGCTGAAGCCACAGAGCGTGCAGTAATCAGTGACAGCAGCCACCAGGAACTGATACGGGGTCTCAACAGGAAACAGCCACTCGATGGAGTCACTGGTGGAGATTTGAATAAAGGGATTATTTACAAAGAGTGGTCAAGCCGGAAGAAAACCTGCAAGGGACAAAGTTCAACCTTGCAGCTCTCAGCGGCAAGGAGCTTGGGAAGAGATAGACGTGGGCCCACAGAGGGGAGCTGCTGGCGGGGCCCTTGTTGGGGCCGGCTTTCCCTGAAGAGCTCCTTCTCATCGTCTTTAAGATCGAGGCTTATGTGCTGCCCTGGCCACCAGGAGCTGAAGACAAGGGGCCCTCCGTTGTGATCCATCTTTGTCACTACAAAACCAGGACTTCCTTCAAAGTCGCACACATGGGAGGGCACAGGAGCGTGTATCTCTCCCACCATCCGCCCACCGTGCTATTTAGTGATACCTGACAGGTCTCCCCAGACAAAGCCCGAGTTGGAGACAGAGCTTTGCAAAGAAAGCAGTACAATACAAACATTTACACATGATGACGGAAGCCTCAGAAAGCTTCTCCTACGACTTTGGCCAACCTCCCTACTGCAGCCAGGAAACGAGCTCCCAGCTATGCGCTCTGGGGTTCCCTTACATGGGCTTGTTTCCTTTTAAGCAAGGAGTAAAGTACCAGTTAGAAAAATAAAACCCCAAAAACAAAAAATGAGAAAGAAAAGTGGAGTTGGAAAACACCAAACTTCCAAACTGAAAGAGGACCGCTCAAAAGGTCCAAAGCTGCCAGAGCCGCTGCCCTGACCGCCTGAACCGCCTGCTGGCCCGTTGCCCATGGAGCCTGGGAAAAGTGGCCACAGCTCAGCACGGTGGCAGTGTGAGACCTGGGCACTCGCAGAGCAGGTCTCCAACTCTCCAAGCTTTTGTCCTCGGTGTTCGGTGTGATCAGTGAGGCCACCCGATGTGCACGTGCAAGAATGAGGCCTCACCAAGCAGCCCGCAGGAACCTACACCTTCACAGGCTGCTGCATACTGAAAGCCCACCCTGATTTTCTGATTAAATCCCTTATTGGATAGGGACACTAAAAGCTCCATCAAGTCTGCATTTTTCAGGGAGATGGTGACAGAGATCACATTAGTAAATATGTCTAATTTATTTTAATGCAGATTTCTGGGAAACAGTATCTTTTAAACCAACATAGCTTACGCTAAAAACCTATGAACTCAAACCTTTGGTTAAATAAAATTCTACCTTCTACTCTCAAACAACAAAAGTCAGAAAGCCAAAGGGGCCCCAGTATAGGTCTCCAGAGGTTGCTGGTAGCTTTTCTGTTTCTGTCTGCAGGGCATGTGTCCCTAGGAAGCATTTACAAATGATGACTTAGCAGATTCTGGGTACACAGGAAATCACATTATACGTTACCACAAGGAACTTCCAAATAGACATGAGCTTTAGGAAGGAAATTTCCACCACTTTAAAGCGGCCTCAGAACTCTCTGCTGTCCCGCCCTCCCCAACATACCCAGCTGTGGCCTTAGTCAGCTTTCTCAGTTAACCAGGGTACACAGGGCATTGCAGAAACGCAGTCACCAGGCCCGAGATGTACTGATTCACAACACAGCAAGCGGCACAAAGGATTCCTCTGAAGAGGGAAAACAGTACTGCCGCTCCTCCGTGGCCGGGCAGCCCCCAAGTCGTGCAGCTGTCTCCCCGCTGGGGCACAGCCCTGTGGTGTCCTTGGAGCCACAGAATGCCATAAGAAAGAGCACTGCAGCACCGGCATCTGGCGCCCTGTGGCCTGGGGTCAAGTCCTGGCTCCCCAGCTTGAACCTGGGTGAGCTTGGGGTTTACTTAAGCCTCTGGGCATCAGGTTTTCAATGAGCAAATGGAGGTAGTAGCAGCACCTACCTAATATGGGTAATCGAGGATGGGACATTGGAAGGTATAGGACTACCTGTCACCTTGCTTAGTACACAGTAATCAGCAAGTGCCAGATGCTAATGATGTCACCATCATCATCATCATTAATAACTTGGCTACTCTTCCCGTCCTGACCTCCATTCCACTTTGCCCTAGGCACCCACACCTCCTCCCTGACCCAATCTACATTCATTCTCACCTCTACTCCCCACCCTGCTCCTGTCTGCGGCTCCTGCCTGTGATACCCAAATGCTGTTGTTATCTTCCAGAGTCTTCCTCCCCATACACCTCGGAGAGGCATCTCCTGTCCAGGACTGTCTCTAAAATGCATGTGACATTTTGAGATGCTAATCACTGCACTCCCATTCTGTTCCTATAGGTGAAAGTTTCTAGCTCCTCTCCTTTTGTTTTTGTTTGAGACAGAGTTTTACTGTGTTACTAGGGCTGACCTCAAACTCCTGGGCTCAAGTAATCCTCTGCCTCAGCCTCCTGCTGGGACTACAGATGAATACTCCTGCACCCCATTCACCCCTAGCCCTCACTTGTCAATGCATCTAGTACATCCACTGCTCAGGTCCCAGCCCATAGAGCTCTGCACTTAAGTCCTCAACTCCTCCTAAACATCCAATGTCAGTACTAGATTAGGCTGCAGGCTGGTTTTGCTAGATTCTAATAGCTAGAGAAGTGCATGCATTTAAATTTTCACACCCAAGTGGCCTGTTATGTGCACTGACCAATTCTTTTAGCTCTGCATTCTCCAGGTAGTAGCTTCAACTTTCAGTTCTGACCTCAACACCAGGGCAGAGAAAAGAGACAGCAATAGTATGCTAACCCAGGCCACATCTCTGTAGCCAGCAGAAGCGTGGTGCGGCTTCCAAAGGTTCTGCATGCAGCATGTTGGTACTCACCAGTCAGCAATGCATCCAGTTATTAGGTAGCCAAAGATTAATCCAACCAGTAAGGAGAACTTAGCGATATGGACCTTCCAGGCATTGTCACATACAAGATCCCACTAGAGAGGGGCAAATAGAAAATAAATCAGAGAGACATGTACACAGACCAGTCGTACACAATCACAAGGGCAGTACAACAACCCTGCAAGGATCACGATGGCCCCATCCTGTGGGCTGTGTCACACAGACTGTTAAGCATCTTGTCAATGTTTCTGAAGATCCAATGAGAAATACCATTTGCCCACAAAATGAAATGCAGTGTGTTAGTCTAGAATGGATCATCTCAGCCTTGAAGGAACGGTGTGTGAAATCTGGGGATATATGCTCCTTCTGTTCCAACTACCACAGGAAAGGGAGGCACAGGGGGACAGCCAGAGACAGGGCATCTCTGCCCCGCCCCCCACGACCAGCAGCCCCTCTTACGCAGCACAGCTGCGCATCACCCAGACGGAGAGCTGGCCCTGCCAACTTTCTGCACCGGACATTATAACGACAGCGGGAAATGAAAGGTGTTTTGGCATCTTCATTCCACAACACACCCCAAATGAATCTTAGTACCAAAGCAGGAGTGAAGAGTGAATGTTGAAAGAGGACCTGGAACATTCTTGCTTTTCCTTCTGAATGTTCCATGTGTTTTACAATATAAATTGAACCTGGCTACTTGGAGAGAAAGCCAATCAAGAGTAAATACAAAAAAAAAAAAAAAAAAAAAGAGTAAATACAACATTCATCTCATCTTGTACAGTTAAAATGTATTATTTAATAAGGAAAATCAAAGCAATCCTCCACTTCCTTTCTTCCCCATTTGCAGAAGCAAGAGGGAAACGTGTGCTGATCTCACTCAGTGGTGTGTGCCCACGTGTACCCAGCCACCCAGTCCACACACAGCTCTCCTCTGGGTCGGAAGCTCCCACTGGCTGGTGCTCTGAGACTGCAGCACCCGCCCTTGCACTCGGTGCTGTGCCTACCCTCTGTTAAGGACATCTTCCTGTGGGGTAGGAAGCAGCGAAGCTTCCAATTGGGGCTTTCAGTGCTGGGGGCGCTGGTGATGTTTGCACCATGATGAGGGGAGGTGGGGATCCAGGGCAGGAGCTGTTTCAGTTACAGGGATAGAGGAGGTTTAAGTGGAGGAAGGGCTGGGACCTGACCCAGCTTTGTCCTCCTGTCTCTGCTCTGCCCTGTCTACTTGAGACCCTGAGTGGAATGCAGGGGACCCTTGCAAGCTCAGGTCCAAGCTTCTGGGAAGCCTGGTGGAACTGTGGGTCTCTGCTTCAGTGGGATGTGGGTGAAGCCAACGTCCCAGCAGCAAGGAAGGCCCTGGGTTGGGACTGGGTAGGAAGGGACTACTCTCATGCTGTTCCCACTCCTGCGCTAGACTCCTGGCCATACTGATGCCCTGGAGCGGCCCGAGTTTCCAGAGACCTGAAAGAGAGATCTACTCCACCCCATCTGGTTCCAGAGGAGTCTGCACTGCCAGGTTCAGGAAGAAAGCAACCAAGAGATGCAAGCACAACAGACCAGTATGGCTCGGGTTTGTGCCCGTGTCTGGGACGAGGGCACTGCTAGCCATGCAGGATCTCATGGAGAGTTCAGATAACTCCCTTCCGTGATGACTCTAGGGGTCTGAACACATGCTCCAGAACCACAGGGACCGGAGCATCAGCAGCACATGGGAACAAGCAAGAAAGGCAAATTCCTGGACCCCAGCCCAGATCCACGGCACGGGACCTTGTGGAGAGGTAGAGAGCTGTGTGGTTTAGCAAGGCAGCCAGGTGACTTTCCGTGCTTCCAGGGACCTCCAGGTGATCTTGCCTCCCTCTCCCTGCATCCAGGAACTTCACTGTCCTGGGCAGGGCTCAAACAATTGACTCCCGATAGCAGGGAGAAGCTCAAACCCCTCATGGAACACAAACCACTGTTGTGTGCTACAACTGCAGGGCTGAAAGCCCGAGGATGCCTTGCGGGTGCTCCTGGGGTCAAGCCTGGAAAACCAAGGCTCACAGACACGACTTTTAATAGTAAATATCCTTTGCTGTGCAACCTATTGCTAGCTTCAGGAATGCAGATTTGCCTCGAAATGTGCACTACATTGTTGGGTAGTACCAGAGCTGCTGATGCTCTGGTCCCTGTGGTTCTTGAGGAGCAGCGTGTGTGCATTCGTTCTGTTTCCCAGCTCGGTGGACGTGATCTGGGAGAGGGGCACCCACACACCTGTGAGCGTTCATCTCCTGGCCACATCGCCCCGTGTGGCCCTTAGCCTGGCCCATGCTTGGCAAGAGAGGAGAAAACCCTGACCCCAGGTGGCTGCCAGGGAGTGTGTGCCAGCTGCTGTCTCTGTCATTCACTCTGCTTTCACACACCTCATGTTCCGACCAAGACTTCCCACTGATGAGTTAGTTTATTGAGGTTAAATGGGCGAAGGAGTACTTTATACTTTTGTTAAATGGCCAGGAGACAGGAAATTTTAATAAAAGCATTCAGGGGAGTGGAGGAAATGGCCAAGACTGGTATAACCTCGGCCACCCGAACAACTATTACACTTGGCCTTGGACAGCCAAGATCCAATTTAGTTGTTCCTAGGAAGTTGCTCAGTGGTCACCTCCACGTGACCCTATCAATTAACAATTCAAGAGGGGAAAATTAAAACAGTAGAGCAGAGTGGATCGCTTCCACAATCAGGAGGAAAGGAAGCCTGGGTAGAAGTGCTGGCTGGCACCTCTGATCTCAGCCTGTGGGCATCCACCTGCACTGGGGTGGAGCGAGCCAGGGAATCCAGGGCAAGGCAGCCACCAGGTGTCTTAAACCCTCTCAGTCAGAAGCAAGAATGGCCAGAATACCTGAATCAACAAAGTGAGAGGGAGGCCCCAGCAGGCTTAACAAGATAAGGGTTACTTGTGCTGGGATCCACCTAAAACAACACCCTTCCAACACCAGAGGCCACCTGGAGGTGCATTCCATTTGGCTGGGAGAGGTGGGGCTTGGGGAGCCCACTGAGCTGGCTTCCTTGTTTGACTTCCACTTCTGGTATTGACAAAAATGCACCAAGAAAATAAAATAGGTTCCTACAGAATGTTATCTCTCAAAGAACTCCCCTAAAGAATGTCAAAAGTATGAGGAAACTTTGAGATGACCTGGCTCTCATGGCTGTTCACATTACTGCAGATCAGATATGCCAATTGGTTACTCAGGAGGCAAAGGCCCTGTGAATTTTTAAAATTAAAACACACTGACAGGTGTAATGCTCTAAAAAGTAAAAGGCCAACACTCAGTGTAATGGGTTTTGTCTCCGACACTGCCCTGGCCACCTGTCTTTTCTTCTCTCCTTCTCAAGTCAGTCACCAACTCCCGTAGATCAACTGTTCCAGAATATGCTGACCATGTCCCCCCATGCTCCATTGATCCATGGGCAACCTAAGTGCCACGGGAGTGACAAGCTTTTGTCATCACCTAAACGCCAGCCTCAGCGGTGTGCTCTTGCATTGTGGGCTGGAGGCTAAAAATAACACCTCCAGACATTTTTACAGGACAGGTTTCATACGTGCTTTAGAGTCTGACTTCAGAACAACTCTCAGGCTTGAACCCAGTTCTAGTTTCTGGGCTGACTTGGACTGGGAAGAGTATGGAGAAGGGAAAATGGGCTGTCCATCTTTCTGGCCAGATCTGGCAGGGGTTGGGTTGGGTTGCGGCCAACAGATATGAAAGCGGTTAAGGAAATAGGATCTTAGAGCCAGTGGCTGGGGCAGTGACTTCCTAATTCCCAGAAACCCAGCTGAGACACTGGCAGGCTGGTTCTAGGGCAGTGTGCCCGGAACCCATTCAGAGGCCCAGCTTGCAGCTGTCCCACCAACTTGGTGAGTCCTAGTTCCCTGTATTCAATCCCTACCTCTGAAATACCCAGGGTGGTTCTTGTTATGTGGAAATTGAAATTCACGCCCTGATTAAATTGCGTTGGGGTGGAGCTCTGGGACAAGATTCAGGCCAAGTCAGCATGACTGCTGTCCTGAACTAATACATGAGTCTCCTTACTTAACTCCTGCCCCCTCAAGGCTATTCCCTAGAGAACAATGACAACAGGCCTTCAACAGAGCCATAACACTTCATCAGCAGGTTTAATAAGATCATAAAGCATTCAAGTCCCAGGCCCATTTCATAATCTTAGCCTCAGTCCCATTTCATTATCTTAGCCTTGCCTCTCGGCCTTTTCTTTCCCGTCAGGAACACTCTATGCTGATGCCCCAGGAAGGCTTCAGCCAAGACTGAGTACAGAGGCCAGGCTCCAGAGGGGCTGTCCGTGTTCCACACACTATATGCTGATTACCACATGGTCTGTTAAAAAGGGGAAGAAGAAGGAAAAAAAAAAAAAAAAAAAAAACAACCAGGGAGAGGCTACAGAAATTGGGGTAGACAATTTTTTCATACCTGTACATTCTAAGGACAGACTACCAGAAATACAATCCATATTATTTTAAGGGAATAGCAAATTGGTTGACTTACTAGAGTACAGAAATATTCATTAAATTAATGGAACTTCTAAAGAAGATGGAAAATAAATGAGGGGTAAGAAAAAGTTTTTGATAATAATGAAAATAAAATGTAAAACAAGAATCATAAAAAAAAATTGGAAATAAGGAGACTCCTTGATTGTGGAGATGGAATTTGTATGGATAAAAACCAAGGGGTGGGGAGGAGCCACCTCAGAAGAGACTGGAAGATTTTATAACAGTTTATTTATTATTAATTTTATTTATTATTTACACTGCTATGCATTAAAGATGCCATAAACAAAATTATAGAGACTTAAATTCCTAAAAAGTTAACAAGTATTAACTTACGTTTTTTTCTAAAATATATCTTCTCATCAATACAGAGTAATTTTCCAACCAGAAATGGGTTAAACACCCAGACAACTGACAAAATAAGAGATATAAATGGTTTTAAAAACCCAGGAGATGTTTGATTCTGTTAATAAAAAAAATTCACTCATAATATTTTGGTTTATAGAACAAAATTTTTAAAAATTTGCTGAAGATGCAGGAAAGCGAAGTAGCTGCAAACCTAC